TTGGGGGTGGGGTGGGGAAAGCCATTGTTTTCTCCCAGCTGCTTCGCTGCTGATTTATTGATTTATTTTTTTTTATTTTACTCTTTTTTTTTTTTTCATAGGAATGCACACTAAAGGTTCAGGATGGGAAATTTAAATTGCAAGATCTGCTGGTGGTTCCAATGCAAAGAGTTTTGAAGTATCATCTTCTGTTAAAAGTAAGTGTTTCAGCGTTGGTACTTCTCTGCAGCTGCCATCCTCTCTGTCTTTTACAGTGGAGAGTGAACCATTGCCAAATGCAGAGTGAGGCTTGGGTTTTGGTTTCTTTCCCCTTCAAATGAAATAATTACTAGAGCTACTTAACATGACATAATATTTGTGCTCTCTTTCAAAGTACGGTGACCTAGGGTAATTCTGCATTTGTTAGCCATGAGAGGCAGTTAATGAATATAAAATAAGCTTGCATATAATCTGATTATGTGTGAAATTCCTCCCATCAACTCTATGTAGCAGATCTCTCGAGCACCAGCCGCTTGGCCTGCTCCATGTCCCATGGCTACAGCTGAACTGGCATCCCTGTCACCACCCTGGCAACAGGCAGCTGCTGCCCACAGGTTATAGCCTGCCTGCTGCAAACGAGGTGTGGGCAGCTTTCCTGGCACACCCAAACTCTTTGGTTTCTTTTTTTTTTTTTTTCCAGGGGCTGCTCAGCCATTCATCAGACCGACCAGAGAAGCAACAGCTGAAGGAGGCTCTGGAGGCGATGCAGGTACGGGAGGGTGATGGGGATGCGCTGGGCTTGGGGTGCAACAGGAGAGCAGGACCCCTCTGCTTCTGTGTGACAAGGAATTAGATGGAAAAACCACCCAACAGCCTGAGAAAGACCCATCTCCTCCTTTAGGACACGCGTGTGTATACTGATTGCTATTCGATGCCCTTGCGTCACAGCAGATCTGTAGGTGTCGCCGTTATCTTCCTCCTTAAGCAGCTGGGGAAGCTGGTATTTGTTGACAAGTTATGACTTTTCACTAATTGCTAAGGAGGCTGTGCCAGATTCTGGTCTTGTTTTTGCTAGGAGGGATCTGGAGGAACTCCAAACGTATCAGCAAGTTGGGGAGTGTTGCAGAAATGGGAGCCTGTGCCCATGCAGGGCATTGCCCACTTGCTGTTATCCAGGTGCTGACTGGGAATCCTTTTATCCAAGTATTTTTTTATTATTATTAAGGGGAAAAATGCTCTTTCCACAAAGGTGGTGTCAAAATTTTGCTTTGTTTAAAGGTTTTTTTGAGCTCTCAGCTGAAACACTCAAGATATCAGGAAAGACCATCAGCCACAAAAAATAAAATCATCCAAAAATTTTCTGGCTTGCATGCATATTTCCCCCCTGCACACTCACACTGGGGGACCATCATCAGCAGAATCTGACCTGAGGATGATCATTAGCTCCAGGTTTTTTCTCTGCAGGGCACTGCAGGACTCATCCCTGGGCTCGCTCTCAGGTCACTTTGTTTTCTACCTTGGAGCCGCAGCTTTTGTAACAGCACCACGTTTCCCAGCGCTTACATAAGTTAGGTGACCTTTTCAGCCATTAGCCCTGCAAGCCCTGGGATCCAGAGCCGATATGTAGGTCGCTTTAAAGCTGAGGTTGTTTGAAGGACGTTGCATTCACAGCCCGCTGCTGCACAGCACATGGCCGTGGCCTCGAACGAGAGCTGAACCTGGCGACAGTTGTTAAACCCTGTTTATACCTCAGAATACGGCACCCACTGATAGCACTGATAATAAATAAATGCATATACATTCTGGCTGCACTGCAGGCTCGGTGGTTTTTGCCCACAACCATCAGCAAGGTTCCTGTTTTTCCTCACCCCATTGCAGGCACGGTTCAGACCAGGCTGGGCTCGGCAGGGACATAGAAAGCCGTGTGGTTGGGTTTGAACTGATCTGTAAAGCAAGGCTTAGCTTACAAGCTGTGTTTTCCATCACGAATCCAGCCTTTCTCTCTGCCGTGCTGGTGGGTGGCGGGTGATGCTGGTGTCTGGGGTTAGAGCTGTGCAGGGGGCTGACTATCTACAGCCAGAGCTATGTTGCCCAAAGGGATTCACCTCCATTGCATTTTGCGTGGGTAGTTGTTTGCAAAAGGCAGGGGCAGGATTTGTGCCAAAAAAATTGCACACGGGGGTGTTTGGTGCAGGTACCGACCCTCCAGCTGAGTGCACAGAACCAAGCCTCTGGGTGATGGTGGGGGTGAGACAGGTTCCCAGTGAAATCCCGCAGCCCCACTTTGCACATTTCTGTCGATGCTTCAGTCACGGATGGTCCTGGGGTTGTAATTCCTGATCGCATAGGAGATGGCCTGTTCAGGAGGGAGCAAGAGCTCAAGCGTGATGGAGGATGCTGCTTCATAAGGCTTTTGGTTTTGTCATTCTCCATAACCATCCCTGCCACTGGCTCGGTGGGGTATTTTGTGATGTTACAAATATTGTCACCTAGATTTGTGATTATTTTCTCTGATTAACCCTTCTTAAGTTGGGAAGCTGGGGAAGGTCTGACCCGGAGGGGATGTCTTAAAAAAAATCCTGTGTTCAGATTTAATCCAAGATGACAAGAGCTATTGTTGAGGACAGGGAGGCAGGGAGCAGATAAGAACCAAAAGAATGGGTGCAGAAAATATGCTTCGAAGGGTGTGAGAAGTTGTTTAAGTGGAAGGGATAGGGCTCTTTCTCTTTGATGCGTCAACATTTAGGGAAGCGGGGAATTTTTCAGGGCAGGACAAGCAATATCAACCATCTCCTTATTTTACAATGTAGCCTTTGTGTTGTGGGAGAGGAGGACACTCTGGTGGGGTGTCCCTGGGAAGGATGGAGTGTGAGCGTCCCAGCGCTCTCAGCAGCTCCGATGTGATCTGGAGCAGCCGGGGAGGTCACCTGGAAGCAAATGGGACAGAGACAGCTCCAATGCTGCTCACAGCTAACGTGCAGCCGGGTGTCCAAAGCAGTTATTTTACAGATGTGGGTGTTGTGACAGCAGAGGCTGGCTCGCAGCTTTTGTATCCTGGGGGAGGAAAGGAATTACGGTGATGACAGCTGGGAGGGGAAGGATGCTGGCAGGGCAGGGGATGCCTGGCTGCTCTCGCCAGGTGAAAGCCGTGGCTCAGGTTTGCTGTGCTGCACAGGATTCGAGCATTGCCCTCTTCTGGGAAATGCTCAAAATTGCAGTGCCCGCCTGGTTCAGAAGAGCGAGCGCCAAAAACCTGTGGTCAGGGGGTCCTGGGCTGAATCCTGGGGACGAAGGGTGGTGTTTTCTGCTTTGATAAGGTGCTACTTTCACCTGGAAAAGTAAAATCAAACATTCACTTTTTTTTTTTTTAAGGACTTGGCCATGTATATAAATGAAGTGAAGAGGGACAAAGAGACTTTAAAGAAAATAAGTGAGTTTCAAAGCTCCATAGAAAATCTGGTAAGTTGGAAAATTCTCTTGCTCCCAGCTTTAATGTGATTATTATTCATGTGTTTGCTTTTTCTGTGTAATTAACTACTGCATCTGATGTGCTACCCAAGAAAATCCCTGTGTGTTTGGACACTCCCTGGTCGTGGATAGTGTTTTTGCTGACAGTACAAAACTGATTTGGCTGTGATGGAGGCTGGCTTTTACTGGTGATGTTACACTGGAAATGTTTCTCCAGCATTTCCTCATGTTATTGGTGTAGGTGGGGGCAAGAATTTCCTAAATCAGCTGTCTGTGCATTTTCTTTTGCTGCTAAGAGGACAGAGAGCTTAACTGCATGTTCTTGCACTTGAAAGTGTCCCAAGGCTAGTTTGGAGGAGAAAGTCACATGTACCCAATCCCCAAAATCTCAGCCAGGTCATTTTAAGGAGAATCTCATCCTCCAGGCTCCAAAGGTACTAAACACTTGGTCCCATTACTCTGCAACCTGTCACTCACTTTAGCCCCCAAAAAGCCTGTTAATTTTGTATTCAGTGGCAGAGCTTGAAGCTAACGAGTTTTTTCCCACAGTTGCCAGGGGTGGGAGGAAAGGGCTGGTCAGCTGCTGGTGCAGCTGCTCTGCTGTCATGCTTTATGCCGGGGTAATGCAATTTGGGTGCTGACACCTGAGATGCTTCAAAAGGAAGAGATGGAGGGAGATGCTGGGGGCTGCCCGCCCCGAGGGGTCCTGCATTTGGGGGGCTTTAAGCCTTGACTTCATTAGGAAACAATGGAGTTTTAGTTGATGGTTATTTTAACAGATGGAGACGGAATCCTTCGTTTTCGAGAGAAACCTGCAAAAATTCTCCAGTGGGATACGGGCCGTTGTGGCTCACAGGTTTTGATTGAAGCAGTCATGATAATCCTGATCTGTGCGAACAATCAGACATCAGGCGCCGTCAAAACGGGAATGCAAATGGGGGCACGAAGCCACCCCTTCTCCTCCTTGCAGCAGGCAGAGAGCAGGACTGATGTGTGGGAGATGAGATGTTAGCAAAGCAGTCGCTCCTGTCTGCAGACCAGTCCCAGGCACGTTCTGCTCAGGGTTTCCTCTCATTGCACCGGGCGGGACGTTGTGGAGTGGTTGGTGTTACATGTATAGAGCCCACGTGGCACGGCAATGAAATAATTATGGACTATGCGTGCAACTCTGTGAAATATTTATTTTCCTGCCCAGTGGTGATGCTTCACAATGTTTTTTTTCCCATGAGAACAATCTGAGGGGGCTGATTGCCGTGGCTCAGCGGCCGTGCTGCACTGAGTTTGCAAGCTGAGCTGAAAGACAAACTGACCAAACCTTTAGGCCGGGTTCCAGCCTCCCCCAAAATCCCAGGATGGGAACCAGAGGCTTCTAATTCCATAGAAACCCCTGGAAAATAGCTCATTTTGCAGGGATTTTGCTTTCTGAATTCCAAACCTTGAAAAAATGCTTTTACTGCTGAGCCTTGCCCTGGGATACTGGTGCTGGAGCTCCAGGGATGCTCCCGTTCGTGATGCACAGGCTCCCCAGGGCGAGGGCGACGCTGTTCCCAGGAGCTGCAGCAGCTCGAGGCAGGGCAGGTGGGGTTGCCCCCGGCACACCACGGGTGGGTTTGGGTGTCCACCTCTTCAAAGCGTTGTCCCAGCCTTGGATCCCAGCCCTGCTTTGCTTTCTGCAGCAAGTGAAGCTGGAGGAGTTTGGGAGGCCGAAGATTGACGGCGAGCTGAAGGTGCGCTCCATAGTCAACCACACCAAACAGGACAGGTGAGTTTTCCCAAACTAAACATGCCTTCGTTTGGCAATTCCCCTTGTGCTCCTTTATTCAGTTTTCTCTTAGAGATGCTCTGCAGAGCTTTCCAAATGCTTTTTCTTCAACGAGGACTTTAATGAGATCTTTGACTGGGTTTATTTGGTTGCTTTGGGCAGGTATTTATTTTTATTTGATAAAGTGGTGATCGTCTGCAAAAGGAAAGGATACAATTATGAGCTGAAAGAAATTATTGAGCTACTCTTCCACAAGATGACGGACGACCCTATGAACAACAAGGACATTAAGAAGGTAGGTGGACTGGGGATTAGCTCTGCTGAAGAGAATTTTAGAGCTGTTTGGGCCAGTCCTTGGGTAGCACATTCTCATTAAAATAGAAACAGAGCGTGCAAAAAGCTGGAAAAGAAATGCTCAACTTTCAGGGCAGCCTTACAGAGTTGGGAAATGTTTATTAACGTGGGGCTGGGCTTAATCCTTGACCTCAGTCCTTGCAAAACAGCCCTGAAGAGGCTGGGATGACTGGAATTAGGAGAGAGGAAGCTGCTCCCTGCTTTCTGGCCCGCCAGCAGCCAGGGACTGGCAGGGAGCAAACATGGGATGAGGCAGAGAGGAGGGCGGGGAGGGAAGGTCCGTGGGGATACTCTCGCTCCCACGAGTCCCGCGCTGGAGGAGCCTGGAAGGGCAGCATGAGCATTGCCAAGATCGTCACTTGGAGCGCGGTTGCCGCTGAAGAAGGAACATCATTTTGTCCCGTGGTTTGAGGCTTAGTCTGCAGCCATGAAGGAAAACCTCCCAGCTATCAGTTTAGCAGAGACCCATTAGCTTAATCCACTTACATGCCGTGGGAAGAGGGTATTGTGCAGATGGGATAAGTGACATTTGGGTAAGAATAGCCAATTTTGACACTTGGGTGCTGAAGAAGTGCTGCTAGCTTTATGTTTTAATGAAATGTATTTCCACTTTGCTCTCCTATGCTTTCCAGTCTCATGGAAAAATGGTAAGCAAAGCACACAATTTTCTCTCGTGTTTTTCTGTGCGATGTTGTAATGAGACAGGCAGAGCATATGTGCAGTGGGCAGGTCAGATGTTCCTCCTGGGCTGTCAGTTGCTGTCAGGGGGAGATAGAATGGCTGAGGAAGATCCACTGGAGCAGAAAGATCAGGATTCTCTCATCTGCCACCATAAAATCCTATTTGGCCCGGGTGCATAGTGCCAAGCTGATTCGGGCATCGTTAGTTGTGATGTGTTAGAGGAACATGGAGCTCTTCTTC